GGCCTTGTGGTCCAGCTTTGCTTTCCCAGAATGGCGGGAGACGTGACCAGTCAGTGGCTCACTGAGCTCTAATTGTCGTTTTCTGCCATGGTGCAGCAGGCAAGACACACTCAGTGCCCTTTCTACCCAGGGTTTGGTGTCCTGTGGTTCAGATACAAGTCTGAGAAACACGACTGTTCCTTTCTCTTCTTAGATCGGCCACCCCGGACGCTTGAAATGTTGCAAACTAATTCGTCCTCATCTGGACTGGGATGTATTGAAAACTGTGGTACAATGACACGCAAGCACTTCCAGCAAAATGGTTTTTAAAGCCCTGCTTGCAGACTGGGGAGTTCTGCATGGAATCAAAGGTTGGGGTTGTCGTGAGTCTCTAGCGAGCCCGCCTGGAATGGTCACTTGCCCATTTAGGTATCACCCTGCCTGGTTTGTCTGTATTTGTGTTCTTATTTCTCATGGGTGTAAGCTCCAAGAAATAAAACTTTGTGCAATGTAACCTGTCCCTGTATTTTCACTCCACCTCCATTCCTCCTACCTCTGCATCTTCCCCTCCATCTTAGGAATCCCTTCCACCATGGCCGCCTCTTCTTCCTTGCACTATTTTAAGGCCTTTGGATTATTGTCGATAAAGTCCTGCTCACTGAGGGACCAGAACTAAGGTTTCTCTCTTTTCCATAGAGTCGTAATAGAGAGGTAGCCTTGTTAGTCTGGTCTTGATAAAACAATAGGAAAAACTATGCAGCACTTTAAAGTCTAACAAGATGGTTTAATAGGTGACGAGCGTTTGTGAGTGAGGCTGCACTGGCCTGGCTGCCTTTTCCAGATGTTTATGGTTAGGTTAACATGCACCGTAGACAATGGACCCAACTCAGTCAGTAGCATGGGATCCACAACGGCCCCCTCGGCCGGACAAAGGGAGCTCCCTTGGGTATATTTTTATACACAGACACAAACTAGTTACACAACCCTTCTGACATAACAGGTTGCCACCCTGTGATGTTAGAATCAAAGAATCCCAGAGCGGCAGAGAAATCAGTCCAGCCTCCTGCCCAAAGTACGACCAACCCCACCTAAATCATCCTAGCTAGAGTTTTGTCCAGTTGGGTCTTAAACACCTCTAGGGATGGAGACTCCACCCCCTCCCTAGGGAACCCATCCCAGTGCTTCCCCACTCTCCTAGGGAAATAGTTTTTCCTAATATCCAACCTAGACCGCCTCATCTGGAATATGTTTATGGCCTATTCTTTCCACTGTTGCTATCTAGGCCTCAGGCCTCACACCAGGCCTGCCATGCATGGGCTTGTGTTTCAGCTCCTCAGCTTACTATATTTCCCCACTCTTTGTTTTTTCTGGAGACAATGTTTACCCCTTATCCCGGGAAAGCACAAGGCATGGCCTGAAGGTGATGCTAAACACTGTGGCCATCTGACTTTGCTCTTCACACGCTCATGGCCCCTCTGTCCTTTGGCCTGTACATTCCCTCGTATGACCGATGGACCAATTTTATTTGGTCAAGAACTAACACAGCTCCTTTGTTTCTTGGAGTCCTCTTGTGACAGGAACAAAAACCAACCAGTAGAGCACTCCCGGCCTTATGTAGGGTGAGGATGGGAAGGGGGGGGGGGTCTTTGCTTTAAAAGTGGATTCCCAGATCAATGTGTGGAAAAATGCAGATATTCCAAGATGGAGTCTGGCACCATTCAGCCTGGTTCCCTGACCTGAGAGGGTATGTCTACACTGCATCCCTCTGTCGGCAGAGGGATGCAGATTAGGAAGGTCAACATTGCAAATGAAGCAGGGATTAAAATATTCAGCACTTAATTTGCATAAAAATGGCCACCATATTTGCCGACTCATCTCTTGTCTGCAAAAAGCAGCAGTCTAGAGGGGGATCTGTTGAGAAAGAAAGCCTTTTTTGAAAGATCCCTTATGCCTCCAGCAAAGAGGTTTACAGTATCAATAGGCAATGCTACCCAGAACAAAATAACTCTTGAAGACCTTAGAGACTGCTCTTGTTATCCGGAGATACTCTGTGACTAAATAAAACCTGATGTTTACACATCAAACCACCTTGGATTTAAGATGCTCTTGGAGCGTCAGAGTTAGACGCTCATGTCCCCTTGATTTTCAATGGCAATCTGGTGCCTAATTCTGCTAGGTTTGTTTGAAAATGTCAGCCAGAAAGTAATAGGAAGTTCTCAATGGTTTTCAAAGAAAATGCCCTCCTGGCTAATATGTATTACGGAGGGTTAGAATCATAGAATCATAGAACGATAGAGCTGGAAGAGACCTCAGGAGGTCATCAAGTCCAGCCCCCTGCTCTAGGCAGGACCAATCCCAACTAAATCAACCCAGCCAGAGCTTGGTCAAGCCGAGACTTGAATGAACTGATGCCATTCTGTGTATTCATTAGCACGTGAGTCTCTGTGTACACTTACATGTTCATAGATACTCAACACCTACTGACTCCTACCCAATCAAAGGGTGCAGAGTGCTAAACAAAGAGATGATGAGAAACAGGATAAACAACATGAGATGTGTTAGTGCTTCACCTATTGCTCTCAAGTATCTCAGGCCTGGAGCTGGAGCGATAGGTTTGACACGTGTCCATGAGGATATTGACCAAAGTGTCCTCACGTTTTATGATACTTACATGGAAGCCAAAGCACCTGGATTCATGTCAGTGAAAAGCCCAGCTGAGTGTCCAACCCCTTGAGTTCCCCTGTTAGCAACAAGTGGGGAATTCAGAATTTAAATCACTGATGTGTAAACACCCCAGACATTCCTGGAGGGACTCTAAACTTCAGCTTCACTAATTTATCCCCCTGGGGTGGACAGTTTGCACTGAGGACCGTTGGGTATTCATTAACAGCAACCTTGGTGGCATCACGTCTTCTGAGCTATCAAAAGGAAGTTGCAGGGAGTTTTCAATCGTATGGACCAAATTGTCCCCTGGTGTAACTCCTCTCATTCCATTACTATTCACCGGGCCATCACACACTGTCCAAACACTGCAGCTTCTCAATGAAGTGGATGATACAAGTCTGAAGAGAAGACAGAAGCCTTGTGACCATTCTCACCAATCTATGCTGCACATAGAGGAGAGGTGCAGTCCCAACACAGGCTGTAGAGACAAGCACAGACACGGGGAACTGGGATTGGAGGCCTGGTCCTTTCTGGCCAAAGACTCCGGACTGGAATGTGCCGATAAGAACCTGGCCAGATTTTCAAAGCAGCAGGCCATGTGATACACCAAATGGACTTTGGCTTTGAGCAAATAGAGGTTCCTAAATCCCAGAATCTGGCCCCAGAGGGATCCTTTAAACCTCTCCTCAGCTGTTCCCAAACTCTGCAAGGGTCTAACCTCAAATTGCAGCCTGATTTGTACAGTCGGAACCACTAAGGCTTTAGATTTCTGTCTCTGGCCATGTGCAGGGCTCTGGACGTGTACGTCCCAGAGTTCCCTCACCTACTTTACCGGAAGGGTCCAACGGGGTAGGTGAACTCACACAAGAAGTTCCCCAGGTCCGATGTTGGCAGTTCGGCCAATGGACTCAACTCAGTAACATGGGATCCGCCACTGCCTCTTAGGCCGGACAGAGCTCTCTTGATTAAATAGTTTTCTCCAATATACAACCTAAGCCATCCCCCACTACCAAGTGAGACCATTGCTCCTTGTTCTGCTACCTGCCACCTACGTCTTCTCTTTTCTAACCTAAACAAGCCCAATTTTTTCAGTTCTTTTAGTCTTCCCTCATAGCTCATGTGCTCTAGACCTTTCTTCATTCTTGTTGCTCTTCTCTGGACCCTCTCCAATTTCTCCACATCTTTTCTGAAATGTGGTGCCCAGAACTGGATGCAATACTTCAAATGAAGCCTAATCAGGGTAGAGTAGAGCGGAAGAATGACTTCTCGTGTCTTGCTCTCAACGCATCTGTTAATGCTGACCAGAATCATGTTTGCTTTTTTTGCAAGACGCTGACCCCCTAGATTCTTTTCTGTAGGATTCCTTCCTAGACAATCACTTCCTATTCTGTCTGTGTGACATGGGTTGTTCCTTCCTAAGTGGAGCACTTTGCATTTGTCCTTATTAAACTTCATCCTATTTATCTCAGACCATTACTCCACTTTGTCCAGATCATTTTGAACTACGACCCTATCCTCCAAATCACTTGCCACCCCTACCAGCTTGGGATTATCTGCAAACTTAATAAGCATCCTCTCTGTGCCAATATCTAAATCGTTGATGAAGACATTGAATAGAACTGGTCCCAAAACTGACCCCTGCGGAACTTCAATTATGATGCCATTCCAGCAGGATTGTGAACCATTAATAACGACTGTATGAGAATGGTTCTCCAGCCGGCTAGGCACCCACCTAATAGTAGCCCCATATAGGTGGTATTTTCCTAGTTTTTTTTATAAAAAGGTCATGCAAGACTGTATCAAATGCCTTACTAAAGTCTAGGAATACCCTGTCACCCAGGAATCAGTCCTTTCAGCTGGTCACCTGGAACTCCTTCAGCCCTGGAGGCCCGTGTCTCTCCCCCGGTTATGTATTTTCTATTTCACATACATCAGGTGTGTCCCACCTCCTGGTGAGGCTGGGAGAGAGAAGAGAAAGCTAAAATTCTGCAAGATGACCAACAGAATTGGGTGTTTCAATCCCCTAAGCAGCCTGTGAGGGTGGCCTACCCCTCTCTGACCAGAGGGATTAAAGTGGGCTAGAGGGAGCCTGCTCAGAGCCCTGACCAATGAGAGAGAAGCTTGTAGGGAGCAAATCAGAGGGCAGGTTGCTGGGACAGGTGTGTTATAAAGAGGTTCCAAGAAAGCAGAATGAAGAAGGAAGGAAGGAATTTACTGTTTTCAAGGACTCAAATGGGCCATGGATAAGGACATACATCAGTTCATCTCAATTTTACTATGTACCAACACCTGACCTTTCACATTCCAGGGCTGTGTCTGAAAGTAGCCCATTTCAGAAGAGCATTTCTCAAGGCCTGATGGACCTCTTTGTTTCTCAGGCAGTAGAGGACAGGGTTGAGCACGGGGATCAGGACTGCGAACCAGATAGACATTATTTTGTGTACGATCGTGGGAGCATTGAACTGTGCAACGACATAGAATGTCATTGCGCTCACATAGTAAACTGTCACCCCAATGAGGTGGGAGGAGCAGGTGGAAAAGGCCATTTGCCTGCTGGTGTGGGAAGGAATTCTCAGGATGCTGGCGATGATGCAAAGGTAGGATGTTAGGGTCAGCAGAAGATCACAATAGTTAATGTGACAGAGGAAAAAAATGACAGCAGTTGCAGAATCTTGGTGTCACCACTGAACAGATCTTTAACAGGTGCAAAATCACAAAAGAAATGGTCAATGTCTTTGGGACCACAATATACTAATTGCAGGATGAAAACGTGCAGCATGATGCAGTAGGAAATGCCGAATATCCAGGCCCAGGCCACCATGTGACAACTGACCCGCCAGTCATCAAAGCGGCACAGTGGAGGGGATGGCAGATCGCTAGATACAGATTGTAGTACATGGCTGTGAGCAAGAGACATTCTATATGGGAGAGGGTAGAGTAGAAATAGAATTGCACATAGCACTTGTGAAGAGAAATGGTTCTGTCACTGCTTGTGAGACTGGCCATCAACTTGGACAGGGTGGTGCAGATATAGCAGATCTCCACAGATGACAAGTCCACCATGAAGAAGTACATGGGGGTGTGAAGATGCCAATCAGCCACCACCAGCACAACAATGAGGAAGTTACCGGCTACAGCCGCAAGGTAGATCACCAGAAACAGCAGGAAGAGGAGGGGCTGCAGTTTAGGGCCGTTCCCAAACCTTACAAGGATCAATTCCGTGATGGGCGTTTGATTCCGTCCTTCTGCAGACTCCATATTTTACATATAGAAACAGAAAGGCATCAAATAGTCACAGTGCAACACAGACGGCTCGTGCTGTTGGCAACACTCCTGCAAACCTAAGGGCAGAAGTTTAGTGCCTCTTTATCTCACCACTTGAAAAAGGAAGTTGTCCATTAGCAGATGAAGACTCATTCGAGCTCCCAAAATAAGGGAACCATGAGCACTGGATCTTAGTAAATGTCAGAAACGTCCCACCCAACTGCCTTGAACTCTCTTGATCTTTAAATAACTATGTTCAGGCTGGTATTTAGAAATATCTTCATCATGTCAGTATCCTGTCAGCTAATCTAGAGGACATAAAATAAGTCAATCTGTTGGTACGGAGGATATTTAAAGTTCACAAGGGTACGTCTATTCTGCACTTGGGAGGTGTCATTCCCAGCCAGGGTAGCATGAACTAGCTTTGATCTAGCTAGCAGCATCAAATCAGCAATGAGAACAGGGTAGCAGAGGCAGTCATGTGGGATATACACTCGTGTACGTCCCTTAGATCTCAGATGGGATTGGGTCAGGGTAGCTAGTCTGCACTGCCGAGGCTACAAGGCTATTTTGAGCACAAGCAGAAATCTCTAATGGACTATGGAATTGCACCTTCAAAGTTGAGCACAGACACACCTCAGAAGATGAAAACCAAAATGCCAAAGAGTCTATGGTTTGTATGAGGGTCTGTCCAGCTATCCCCTATCCCAGCAGACTCAAAGAAAGAACATTGCACCACTTGAGAGGGTATAAATAGGCCTAGGATGCCCCAGGGTAAATTGTATCAGGTTTATATAGATTTACATAGGCAGAACTGAGATACAAATCCAATCCCGTGTGAAGGAAAGGAACTTGAGAACTCATCGAAAGAGAAAGGAGACAGTGGTTTCGTTTCTTTTTGAACCACAAGCGAGAACATGCCTGGTAAAAAATGAAAAAGTGGAGAAGAAAGAAGAGCTGTATAGACAGAAAGAGCATAATTAAGAGTGAGAAACAGTGGCTACGTCTGCACTGCACATCTATTTTGGGATACCAGAGGTATCCCATATAGCTACCCCACATCTACTCAAGCCGCCTGATCTTTTGAAATATTTTTTCAAAATAACAGGCACACTATTTCACCATCCCAGTAAACCTACTTGCATGAGGGATAAGGGATGACTGGGAATAGAGTGCTATTTCAACATTTATCGCTGTATGGATGTGCCAAATTTCACAATAAGCTATTTCGAAAAAGATTTGAAATAAGATGCACAGTGCAACTTGCGTCTTTTATTTCGAATGTAGGGTGCTGTGTAGACGCATCCAGAGATGGTTTATTTTTCCCAATGCAATGAGCATTAAACACCGGATCTACTTAAACAGGAGGAGCAGTTCTCAGCTATGAAAGCAAAAGTTTCCAAGCCAATACATCTGAAATCCTTCTTGTTTTTTCCCTGCACACTGCTTGATACGGTGTAATCACTGACTTACCTTCAGGCTACAGAAACGATGCCCAAATGTCTGAAATGGGTTGTGCCCACAAAATCAGGAGATGGACAACATGGGAAGGGTCACTTGTTAATTATCTGGTTCAAGTGACAATTCTAGGCACACTCACTAGAGACTCACGACAACCAGAGCACTTGATTCCATGCAGAGCTCCCTAGCCCTTACGCGGAGTGTGCTAGTGTGTCCCACAGTTTTCAATAAACAATAATCCAGATGAGGATGGATTCGTTTGTGACAACAGTTCAGGCCTCTGGGGTGGCTTATCTGAGAAGAGAAAGGAGCAGTCATGTTTCTCATACCTGTGTCTGAATCACAGGACACCAAACTCTTGGTAGAAAGGACATTGAGTGTGTCTTGCCTGCTGCACTGTGGCAGAGGACCACAATTAGAGCTCAGTGACGTCTCCGGCCATTCTCCGAAAGCAAAGCCCGACCACGGGGCTGGGCGGTTGTCTTCACTCGCTGTGCGCTGCCCAATCATCGCTACTCTCCCTTACCACAGAAGAGACACTGGGTCAGGAAGCAAGCCCAAGCCCAGGGAGAACAAAGCCCCAGAGCTGAGGCAGAGACAACCAATGAGGCCCCAGTGGGGGCTGTATAAATAAGGGCTCTGGGGGGGAGGAGACACTCACTCTTGCTCTGGTCAGAGAGCAAGAAGGACCTGGCTGCTGCGGTGAGGCAGAAAGGACAGGGTCTGAGACAAGGCCTGAGGTTACCAAGGATGCAGGGAGGCAGCCAGGGCAGATGAAGGCATCAGGTCTCTGAATGGCCCTGTACAGTTGAAGGTGGCCCTGGTTAGTTGACAAGAGACCAGGGATCACTGAGGCAAGGTGGGGGTTGGGGATTCCCTGAGGGGGACGACACCAGAGTGAGGGAGTGCTCTGGTGGGGCAGTACCCAGAAGTGCAGAAAATAGGTCACCATGGGTGAGACACTGGCCATAAGGGGGTGCTCCAGGGCTGGAGAAAATAATTCCTGAGTGAGCAGTAGGAGGCACCATGATGCCTGTTTACACATCCCATGTCCAGGAGAATTAGGGAGAGTAACCACAGAGTGAATTTGGAAAGTTAAAGGTTTGACAGATAAAAGCTCAGAATGTAAAAGAAAGAAAGAAAGAAAGAAAGAAAGAAAGAAAGAAAGAAAGAAAGAAAGAAAGAAAGAAAGAAAGAAAGAAAGAAAGAAAGAAAGAAAGAAAGAAAGAAAGAAAGAAAGAAAGAAAGAAAGAAAGAAAGAAAGAAAGAAAGAAAGAAAGAAAGAAAGAAAGAAAGAAAGAAAGAAAGAAAGAAAGAAAGAAAGAAAGAAAGAAAGAAAGAAAGAAAGAAAGAAAGAAAGAAAGAAAGAAAGAAAGAAAGAAAGAAAGAAAGAAAGAAAGAAAGAAAGAAAGAAAGAAAGAAAGAAAGAAAGAAAGAAAGAAAGAAAGAAAGAAAGAAAGAAAGAAAGAAAGAAAGAAAGAAAGAAAGAAAGAAAGAAAGAAAGAAAGAAAGAAAGAAAGAAAGAAAGAAAGAAAGAAAGAAAGAAAGAAAGAAAGAAAGAAAGAAAGAAAGAAAGAAAGAAAGAAAGAAAGAAAGAAAGAAAGAAAGAAAGAAAGAAAGAAAGAAAGAAAGAAAGAAAGAAAGAAAGAAAGAAAGAAAGAAATTCCTTTTTTCAAGGACTCAAACGGGCCATGGGTAAGGCCATATATAAGTTCATCTCAATTTTACTGTATACGAAATCCTGACCTTTCACAATCCATGCCTGTGTCTGAGAGCAGCCAGTTTCTGAAGAGCTTTTCTCAGGACCTGATGGACCTCCTTGTTTCTCAGGCAGTAGAGGACGGGATTGAGCAAGGGGATCAGGATAGTGAACCAGACAGACATTATTTTGGGCAGGATTGCAGGAGGGTTGAAAAGTACGACGACATAGACTGTTATTGAGCTGACATAGTAAACAGTAACCATAATGAGGTGGGAGGAGCAGGTGGAAAAGGCCTTTTGCCTGCCAGTGCCAGAAGGAATTCTCTGGGGCTGGGGGAGAGGAGAGTAAGTTTTCCTGGTTGTGCCCAGAGTGGCCACTAGAGCTCTCTGGGAAGGGCTGAAGGCCTCCTATTTCGAATTCAGTGTCTACACAGCACTTAATTCGAAATAGCTACTCCTCACAGAATGAGGTTTACCAAATTCAAATTAAGGGCTCTGCTATTTCGAATTAAATTCGAAATAGAGGTTTGCATGTATAGATGCTATTAAAGTTAATTCGAAATAACGGCTGTTATTTCAAATTAACTTTGCAGTGTACCGTTAGGCTGTGTCTACACTGCACCCCTTTTCCGGAAAAGGGATGCAGATTAGACACTTTGGAATAGGCAAATCCGCGGGGGATTTAAATATCCCCCGCGGCATTT